GGTGACATTATAAAATTATTTCACTATAAATGTATGTATTCATTTTTGAGCATTATATTCTATTACATTGATCAACATCTATATTCTTATACTAGTACCATAAATCTTGATTACTATTACTTTGCAGTGAGTTTTGAAGTCAGGAAGTATGTATCTCCCATGCCAACCTTTTTTCTTCTTTCTCAAAATAATTTAGGCAGCTCTGGGTCTATTGCATTATATATGAACTTTAGATAAGCTTTGTGAATTTAGAGGAAGGAAATGTCACCTGGGATTTTGATAGAGGTTGCATTAAATCTATTAGATCCATTTGGAAAATATTGCTAGCCTAACAACATTAACCTTTATAAGCAATGAATAGTCAAAGTTTTTTTCCATTTTTTTTCAAAATGTTTTCTATAGCTTTTGTGTGTATATCTTATACTTAATTTGATAAACTTATTTTTGATGTCATCTCAAATTGGAACTTGCTGAGATTTTTGTTTTAAGATTATTAATTGCTAGCTAATAGAAATTCAGAGGATTTTATATATTCACCTATATCATGCAAGTTTGTTGAACTCATTTCTAAATTCTAAACATATTGATTAGAGTCCTTTAGAAGTTTTATACATAAGATCATGTCATCATGCCAACAGACAGAGTTTGACTTCTCTTCCATCTGGAAGTCTATATATTTTTTTTCTTAGACTAACTGCCATGTCTGTATCCTCTAGTACAATGTTGAAAACAAGTGTGAAGAATGGAAATCCTGTCTGTGTTCTAATCTTGGAGAAATAGTGAACCTTTCAGATAACTTATTTGATGATATGTTGTTTTTCAGGATCCCTTTTAAAAGGAGGACAGTTCCTTATCTGTCTCATTTCTGCATATTTTTCTCATAGGGAGTTGGAGAATTCTCAAGTGCCTATGCATCTTTCTGAGATGATTATGTGGTTTTTGTTCTTTATTATATGGGATAAGTGCATAGCACTAGTTGTATGTTGAACCAAATTTTGCTTTCCTGAGGTAAATACCCTTGATATAGCATACAATACCTTTTTACATGTTTCTGGGCTTTGTATCTAATATTCCTTGATGATTTTGCCCCTGTATTCATAAGGTATATTGTTCTTCATTTTCCCTATTTGAAATTCTTTGTCTGGCTGCGGTATCAGGGTAAACTAACTCAGTGTACAATGGGAAATCATGTTTCTCCATTTTTGGAATATTTGTAATAAAATATAATTTTTTAAATGATTACAATAATTCACTATGAATTCTTCTTGTGTGTCGAGAGGTTAATCCTAAGAATAGTTACATGAGCTTGGGAAGGAGACCTTTCCCCACGCTGAACCTTAGCCTGAGGCCATCACCTACACTACACCAGAGAAACTGTGAGTAATTGCTGTGTGGTTTTTGAACCACTAAGATGTATAGTAGTCTGTTATGCCACCAAGTCTTAAAGTAATATACCTGACAGTAATTGCAATGTGGTTATTCTAGATTAGGTCTTGGAACAGATAAATATATCATTATTAGAAATTCTTGGTAAAATATTGAAGGAAGTCTGTAGATCAGTTACATAGGTTTTGAAACATAGTGAAATTCTTAGTTTCATGAATTATCCTATAGTTATAATGTTCATTTTAGTTAGCCTGAAGTATATGAAACTCTCTGTTCTACCTGTGTATCTTTTTTAAAATCTGCAATTATTTCAAAATAAAATTTGTTTTTCTAAAATTATTATATCTTTAAAAAGAACACAAGACATAAGCAAAAATCTTTGGCTTCCAGAGATGAATGGGTACATAGGAGAGAATAGAAAATGAGCATTTTTTATCTAGTCGCCTTTCCAAACCCAGGTGCACCTGCTTCGGGAAGGCACCATCAAGCTCTACGGACTGTCATCCTTTTTCTCCTTCTCTGTTACCCAGTCCACACGTTGGAGTGTCAGCAACCACTTATTCAGAAAAAGTTGCCTTTCCTTCACATATCCAGAAAGCCCCATGTGCAGACATCATTGAGAGTGATATTCAGGATCCATTGAAGCATTTTTTGGGAGATATGACTCAGATATTAGAAGCCAAGAATTAGAAATTTCAGTGAACAGGAAACATAAATCAATTTCCTGCATTCAGGATAGTGGTTTTCTTGGTACAGGGATTTCTTTTCAAGTAATCAAAAGACAACTGCTACTCTTCAAACCTTTCAGAAAAATATGTCCTAATTTAGTTCTTTTCATTCTACAGACTCCATCAGGAATTGTTTGGGACCATGCATTCTGTTGCCCACTGCCCACCCGAAAGCCACCAAGGTAGCAGGTAAGCAGAGTACAACAAACGTTTCTTACAAATGGGTTTAGGCCAGACCCTACTTACAGAGACCTGGATATGAATCTGTTACACAACAGGTTTTTTACAGTTGGATGCTAGTGAGTGGAGAAAGCCGATGACAAAGTGCTGAGCAGCGAGTCCCCAGACACATTCTAACTGCATGGAAGATGTGATTTCCCACAATACCTTAAACCCACAGTTCCTTAGAGGCTGGCCTGGACACAATTCTAAAAGAGATGCCATTCAAAAGAAACCAAATTCTAGACCAGATCATGAGGCAAATATCCAACACTTGGACTCCACACTGTAACCTGATTAGAAGTTGGAGTTCAGTGGAAGAATGTCTTGGATATTTGAGAACATGACTTTATCTGTATTTAATTTAGCCTTGCTGGAATTTAAAACTGTAGGGGAAAATTCAGTCAACCTCCTAAATTCTGTGAGTTTTTGTTTTTGTATGTGAGTTTCTGCATACACATAATGAAACTCCCATCATTTAGGAGGTTGACTGAATTTTGGGTATACAGAAATTCATACTTTATGTGTTTCTTCTTCTGTCAGTGTATTCCTGAGGGAACACCAAAACCAGTCCCCAAACCCAAGTACCCAAATTAGGATTGACCAGAGTAGCAAGGGGACAGATTAAAACATTTTATAAAGACCATTATGCATCTACGTCTGCAGTGATTAATTATAAAATGATTTCTATGATCTCCAGCCATATGGTTAAAATGGCAAATGGGAATGAAGAAAAAAGAGTTACATAAATATTATAGCTGAAAAAATGAAGTTTATAATAAAACTTACAAGGATCATTGGTCATATTCCTAAGACTGCCAGTGGAAAGTTTCAAAGATACAGCTTTTCTTCAGGTCCCTTACAGAAAGCTCTATGACATCAAGTCGAATTTAATTCAACGTAACTCTTTAGTAATTTGTTACTCTTCTTCCTCAGTAGAATTTCTTTAAACCATTAAAGTTCATAAAACTACTTGTCCATGCATAACATAAGAATTTTACGTGTTCCACTAGTAACTCTAATGTGTCCTATAGCTACGTAGACTGCAATGCACTTGGTAAACTATGTGATAATGATTTAAGCTATTCCTTCGATAATCAGATAAGTAAATACAAGTTGGATGAGCCGTAACCATCAATCTAAACACCTGAGAAATTGGCAGCACAGAGGACAGTGTATTCCAACTCATCGTAGAGGGCACATTTCACCCGTTTATGAAACACGGGTGCACCTTAAATTTGATAGTGTTAAAACACTTGACTAAGAAGGCAAACCATAATGTTGATTGGTCCTCATTTACATATACATGAGCTTGTGTCTATAAAACCTTCCATTGACCATTTTCCAGGTCATATCATAACATCATAATCTTGCATAGGAGGTTTTCAGAAGGTTGGGAAAGATAAACTCAACAGGAGCAACATAGGAATCTCACCAAAGAAAAGTTCAGCAATCACCAAAGCTTCAGATTAGCACAGGGATAATAATTGGGATAAATTATGGGCAAGGATGAATTGAAGAAGTGGATCAGGGAGTGACATCTGAAAGCACAGCAAAATTAAGGAAAACCATTTTTTTTTTTTTTTTTTTTTCGGTCATGTGTTTTCTTGTATGTTCCCATCCCATGTAATCATAGGAATGACAACAAGACAAAATATCACATGTATCGCACATTGAAAACAGTTTTTCCAGTAATTTATAAATGTGTTTATATTATTACTAGTGATTTAATGTTTAAGTGATAAAGTTATTAGTTTCCTTCCATTGGTAAGTGGTTTTGGTTCTTCCATTCTGGGTGGAATGAAGTAAATGACATGTTACAATTGACAGAATGGAATAGTATCTCACAATTTATTAGAACTTAATTTTTAGGGGTTAATGTAGGCTTGATAATATACTGCATGCTTTGTATGTTATCATTTCCTACAATGCACACTGACATCTCAAGAGGTAAGCACGATTTTCACTCCTGTGCTCCATTTTGGAGTCTGAGCTGACTTTCTGCGGCAAAGGTATAAAGGAACCTTGAGTTTGATACTGTCTGCCCCAGTCTTTGCTGACTTCGACTATATAGAATGTGTCTTGTCTTACATGCTAAATAATTTTCAGGTCTAGTTAGACAGCGCACGCTATCCTGTGTCATGAAAATATTTTCCTAAATTGTGTTCTGAATACTCTATTATTTTT